CTTCAGCTCTTCTTACCAAAACAATATCTTATAAAACATCTTTGAAATGTATAATTTGAATCCATAAACCATGAGAATTTCAGATTTATCTTTCTCTTCTTGCATATAAATCAGGTATGTGGTATTTGCTTCTATTTATTATTTACTCACAGTTTACTAGGTTCTAAGAGTCATGCTAAGTACTTCACCTGAATGACTAATTTAGGTTTCATAATTTTGTAAAGTAAGCAATTAATGACCCTCACCTCACAAGTGAGGTAACTGGGCTTAGAAAAGTGAACTTTCTTAATGTTAATAGCCGATGATAAGCAAGAGTTCAGAAAATCTGTAACATCAGAACCCCTGTTCACAACCACTGGCATGATTTAGTACTTCCAATAGTAACTGGGAAGCTCTAACTATACACTAACTTCAACAAACCCCCTACATGTCACACATTTAGCCATGGTCTTTTCCAAAGGGGTCACAGGTCTCTTAAAAGACAAACATGCATGGTGGTAGTCGTTATCACAGGCAACTGTGCCAGCTACCCAATGCCTAAGAAAATGCTACTCATATAAAAATCAGATTCATTCAAGAAAAATGATAATTGCTAATCACATGCCCCTCCCAATTCCATGACCCTCAATTATCTAGTAAATAACTGAATACCATCAATTTTCCTTTGCATTTTCCCTTTAAACATCCGTTATGTGATGATATTCTAGCTCACACTTTATGACCTCAATTCTGCATTAGTGTACCACATTCATTCCTAAAGGAGCTCTCTGCTTCCTTTTTTTTTTTTTTTTTTTTTTTGTGAGACAAGGTCTCACTATGTAGCCGAAGCTGGCCCTAAACTCACTGCTATCATCCTGCCTCAGCCTCCCACGAGCTGGGATTACAGCCATCCAAGGAGAGATGGGGGAAATGAACTGTTACTTCGGGTAGACTATGGAAGTAGTAGATTTGGATGGAAGACAGACAACAATAGACATCTCCTTATTTTTGATCTTGAGGGTAATATATTTTTTAAAAACAAATATATTCATAGGTATAGGTTGTTTTTTAAGTCCTTTATTAGGCTGAGCAAATTGAAAATTGTTAACTATAGCATATTTTGTAGATGTTCTTTATCTAATTAATGACTCAATTCCTAATACTCAGTTTTTTTTCAAGAATGGATTGCTGTCAAGTGCTTTTTCTACATCTATTGAGATGATCATGTAGTTTTTCTTTATAGTCTGCTAATATGGTGAATTACATCAACTATTGAATCTTTTTTTTTTTTTTTTGGTACCGAGGATCGAACTCGGGACCTTGCACTTTCAAGGCAGGTGCCAGAACCACTGAGCTAAATCCCTGGCCCAACTACTGAATCTTGAACTAACCTTACATTCCCAAGCTAAACATTACTAGTCATCATGTATTATCCCTTCATTATTGCTTGGTTTGGTTTTCTAAGATTTTTGAGGAGTGTTATCAAGTGCACCTGTGAGACACTGGCTGTGGCTTCCTTGTAATACCTCAGTTTGGTTTTGGTTTAAGGGTTACACTGCACTGTGCACAGGATTTCCCATCCCATTAATGTCTGGAAGACCTATAATGATGTCTCCTCTTTGATTCCTGACTAGTCATCTGTATCATGTTTATTTCACCAATCTTTTCAAGTGATCAGTTTTTGCCTTCATTGATTTTTTTTTACTATTTTTCTGATTTATTTTTTCCTCTGCTAGTTTCAGGTTTAATTTGCTCTTTTTCAAAGTTTTTAAGTAGAAGCTAGGTCACTTTCTTTTTTCAAACGTAAGCACTTACTGCTATCAGTTTTTCTTTGAACACTGCTTCAGCTCCAGCTCATAAATTCTTACACTTAATTTAAAATACTTTCAATTTAAAATAATTTCCATTGTGATATCTCCCTTTCTCTCCATTAGTTATTTAAAAGTTTGCCATTAATTTTCAAGGACTTGAGGATTGTCCAAACATAGTTCTTTAATGGGTTTAATTTCATTGTGGTAACCGACCAACAAATCATGACAAAATATGATTTAAATTTTTATAAATTTATTAAGACTTACCTTATAGATAAAAAAAAGACTTACCTTATAGATTAATAACTAATAATTGATACTTTGAAATAGGAAAAGGTCCAAAGGGGTAGGGGTGGTGGGAGGAGATGGGGAAAGGAAAGAATGGAAAGGAAAAATTATGAGAAAAGAAAAAAAAATGGAAACGAAGTCTATGTAAATAGGGAAGGGTGGAGGGGTGAAGGGCACACAGGTAATGGGGAAAAAATAAGAACCAAGATACATCAGGTACAGGTACAAGCACCCAATGATAAATGTAAATATATTATTGTATACCTAAAATGTACCAATAAAAGAATTTAAGCAAAAAAAAAAAAAAGACTTACCTTATAAAATAGAGGTGGTCTTGGACTATATCCCATATACATTTGTAAACCCAATACACTTAAGACTTGGGACAGTGAAACAATCCCCAAACCTCTGGGAAGACACTCTTAACCCAAGCACACAAGATCTCCATAAAGTCTCACTGAATTAACTCATGATCCAAGTTTATAAGACAAAGAGCATGATTCACTCTGGCAGAGAATTAAGAGATTCAACCCACAATATTAGAGCCTCCTCCCCCAAAATTTCAGATTGAATTAACCAAAACAATTAAACTAAACAGATTAAGATTAAATAGCCAGACAAGAAATAAACATAAAAGAAACCAAAACTTTAAGAAATCAGAGAAGAGCTTATTATAACCACACTGTGATAAACTAAATATCCACCTAAATGGCTGAGATGAAAATGTAAATTACTTAGTGCTAAGGAGCATGTGGAACAACTAGAATTCTGGTATACTGCTGGCATAGTAAGTTTGAAAAATTGTCTCCAGTATCTACTAAAGCTTAACATATGGATACTCTATGACCTAAATCCCACTGTTAAAAATATGCAACAGGAATGTGTGCATATATTTTACCAGGAGGCAAGTACTACACTGCTCATAGAACTAAAATTGAAAGCTAGTCAAATACTGTACTCATCATTTACTAAAATGAATAAGCATGTGACTGTTCACTATGATGTATCAACTTGACCGGAGAAGAAACACCTAGATTAGTAAAGTGCAGTTCCTGGTATGTCTGTAGATGACTGGCAGGTGGGCCAGCAAACTGAAGGGAACGACTGGTTGTGGGTGGCATCAGCCAAGAGGCTTGTTATAGCCTGGATAGAATATAAAAGGATAAGATTTGTGCCTATTGTTGAGGAGTTCCAGTCTTCTTGAGTATGTGCGTCCTCTGCTGCCATGGACTTTCCACATTGGTCTCCAGTTTCCTCAGCCTTCCAGTGCTGACTTGCACCAGAGACTCCCAGTGAGCTTGCAGCCCTTCAAGTTTAGACTGGTGCTGCCATCTTGATCTCTCTTCTGGGGTTTCCATCTCCTTGGGCTGAGCAGCTAGTGGATCCTCCAGCTTACCAGCATGCAGGTGGCCACTGTGGATTCTCCCACCTTTGATCCTGTAAACCTACCTAATAAATACCTTTGTATAATTACATATACTTACATATACTTTCTATTGACTCTGTTCCTCTAAAGAACCCTGATACACAGAGGTAGTACTAAACACAGTGGCATATTAAACAATGACAATGAAAGGCCTGACCATAGGCAACTGTTAGGAACTGAATTTTTGTGTCCACCTAAAATTTATATGTTGAAGCACAGCACCCAATATGTGATGAGTTAGGGGGATGAAAAAAATTAAGTTTAGATGAAATCATGAGGCCAGAGCTCCCATGATGGGATTAGTGTCCCTGTTTAGAAGTTGAACAAATAGCAGAACTTCCCTTTCAGTGAAGACATAGTGAGAAGGTAATCACCTGTAAGCCTTCACCAAAGAACCTGACCATTCTGAGAAGTAAATGTCTGGTGATTAAGCCATCCAGTCTTTGGTATTGTTAGAGAAGCCTGAGCTATAAGATATCAACAAAATGAAAGAACGTCATAAACATAACTTTGAGCTAAAGAAGCCAGACATAAAAAAGTATATATTTTATACTTCTATAAAGCACAAAAGCAGGCAAAACTAATAGTCTACATTACCCTTGGCAATGAGGTGGGTGTGGGGTGGCTAGTGACAGGAAAAGAGAAAACTTCAAAGGGGCTGGGAATATCCTGTTTCTTGATTTGGCTGCTGGTTATACACATTTGGTTTGTGAAAATTCATCACGCTATACATTTATGATATGAGCAATTTTCTGTGTATATATTTTTCCCCCCAGTACCAGGGCATTGAACTCAGGACCTTGTGCTTGCAAGCTAAATCCCTGGTCCTTCTGTGTGTATATTAATCATCAATAAAAATTTTTTAAATGTGAAAAAAAATTTTAAAAATGTGTTTACTAAAACCCTAATGAAAGGATAATATAACACATACAGAAGCCGAAATAAAAACAAAACAACAGTCACTGAAGTAAAAATATGATTGTTAAACAGTGAATGATATTAGTAGAAGGAATTCTTTGTTTGGAAAAAAGATTTAAGGAAACTCCCCAGGATGCAGCACTAAAGGATAAAAAGATGGAAATATGAAAGAGTAGTTAGACACATAGGATAAAACGTGAAGATAAGATATAAATAGGACTACTAGCTGGAAAAGACATGTTATGCAAATAAACAAAGGATGAGAATTTTCCAGAACTGATGAACAAAATAAGAATTTGGGCTCATGAGGAATGAGCTCTTGAAAAGAATAAATACAAATAAATAAATACTATTTGGAATAGTACCTGACTGCTGGAAAGATTCTTTGAGGCAAACTGATCTGTCTCCTTTGTTTTGAAGATGAAAAAACTAAGGCCCCCAAAGATTAAGTGATTTATCTAGGATCAAAGAGCTGATTAATGACAGGAATAAAAACCATCTTAATACAGCACCTGCCTTGCAAGCGCAAGGTCCTCAGTTCAATCCCCAGTATCAAAAAAACAAAAAAAAAAACAAAAAAAAGTTAATATGCTATATTTTAAGAATAATCGATGAAAAGAGCACAAGAATTTGGCATCACGGTTACAAGAATAATGTAAAGGTTCATGGAATTTAATTTGAGAGTTGACAAATGAAAGCACAGCTCATTCAAGTGTCATAAACAGGTGCTTAACAAATGGTATTTAATAAGTAATTAGGGCAAACTAGGGCTGCCCACACATACCTTAAAAAAAGAAATAATTTCAAGACAATTTTTCTCTTTAAAGTTTAAGTACCAGACCATTGTAATCATTTCAGTACCTAGACTTCGTACCTATTATCCTCCTCTATTTAATAAATGTTTCAGTATTTTAAAGTGCTTCTGAATCACATTTCTTCCTATTATATATATCATGATATAAGGTAAATTACTTTCTTCCTCTGAAACAGAACAATTCACATCTAACTGAACCTCTAGCTGCCTATTCTAAGTCTGAAACAGATTTCAAACTGGTCAGAGGGACACAAAATATACTGAAGATCTGATAGAAAGGAGTCTTTTATGAATAATTTCTGATGATGACTCAGAGGTGTGTATTAAGGAAAAGACCCAGTCAGTATAAGGAAATGTAGTTAGCTCTTCTTCTGTTCATAGTTTATAATTTTGAATGTATGGAGAGCAAATTTCTACAATTTTAATGCTCTTGGATTGTAAGAGTATAACGAAAATAATTTTATGGCCACTTTTGACAACTTTTAGATTAAGACAATATTTCTCAGAAATATAAAAGACTTAAAAGTATTAAAATGATATGATTTGGTATTTGTAGGTTGAAACATTTTCAAGAATTTCTAATTTATCTTTAGCTTGTAAGTAAAACAATCCTATTATGTTATGAAAGTTTAAGTGTAAAATATATAAGGCACAGATAGTTCCTTAACAAAATGGGAAAAAATGCTGACACTTAAATACCAGACTCTTGTGAGAAAACTAATCTATTCTATGGATGAATCTTGAACCTTTCAGAGCATCTCGGTGAGTTTTGGCTCATATAAGAGTTAAGAATATTTTAAAGTTTCAGTAAGTTTTAACTACTCATACTAACACATCTGACAGTGCTAAAAAAGAATTAAAAAATAAGCAACTACCAATAGCAAAAATGAAAAAACTAAAATTGTTTTAAAAGCCATGAAGAATACTTCTATCAAGCATTCACTGCATAAATAGATCATACAGATTATAAAAAACTATTATGACACTTATTTGTATAAATGAAAATAGTACATAGATGAATCACACAAAAATGAATTAAAGAAACTTTGATTTTGGTCTTATACTTAATTAGCAACAGCATATAAAATCCCCACACAATGGCACCACTGTAAAATGTTACAACTCTTTGGGAATGCAATAAGGCAAACATAAACCATAAAACTGTTCATATAATTTCACTTCATCATTGCTTCTCGGCCTCTTGGCTAAGATGAAGTGTGATTTCACTTTATCCCCTGCAAGAATTTATCCAATCAAACTGAAAGCCACTCAAGTATTCAGTAGTAGAATAATGGTTTAAATGAGTATGAAATAGTATGCAGAAAATAATCATTATAAAAACTAAATATAGTTAAGACAATATCAAATATAAAAAAGTAGATGCCTTAAGACAAATTATTTGGACAAAAAAGGGAAAACCAGTGTTATAAAATTAAAATTCTACAGTTAGTGCATTAACATGGTGAAGACTATAGGTAAATTTTCAGTTACTTGCCTTTTCAAATAATTGCTACACTTCCTTATTACAAATTAGACATATCAATTTTTAAGTTGATAAAAGGGCAGAAGTTCCTCAGTTATGTTCTAAAACCTAAATACTTCTCTATTTGGACTTTAATTGGTAATGAAAGAAGATATACCTCAATTTGCAACATTCCAATAGGCAGAGATAGTCACTGTTACCTTTGGTTGACATAAAATGCAGGGCACTAACAATATATAATAGTATAAACTTTCAACTCACAAATTTATGTGTTTGGTATGTTATGTTAATATATCATGATATCAATTCTCTTCTCATTGTCTATTTCATACTAAGAATTAGTTTTAATATTTTCATTTATAATATGCTGTCACTATGCTGAAAACGCTCTACCAAAACATCTAACTTTTTATCTTAAGTTCATATTAGATCAAGCATAAATAAAGCCACTTTGGCTTATATATTTTAAAATTTTTGAGATAGATTGTAAGCAATCACACTTAAAAATGGCAATTCATAGAAATCTAAAAACTTGTATTTCATCAAATTTGAGGGGCCGGGGATTTAGCTCAGTGGTTCCCCTGCCTGCCTCGAAAGTGCAAGGACCCAAGTTTGATCCCCAGTACCAAAAAAAAAACTGAAATGAGTCCTCCTTGTGAAATTACATTTGAGTAAATGAAGAGGGACTTGAGTGTTTCTATAGGCTAGCTGCGTAATATATTACATTCTCTTAACTAAAATATGGAGCACTCATGACATGAAATGTGCTATTGTGTAATGTGACTACATTTTCAAAATTATAGGAAAGAGGGATGGAGAACTTTCTGAAGCTATTTGAATGAAAACACTTGAGAATCTCTGCAGTTAAATATTCAGAGCAGAAGAGATGAGCTGGAAATGACAGGCAGCTATCTCCATGTCTAGAAATGTCACTTGAAAGAGCACACAACAAAGAAACAATGTCACACACACTAATGCCCTATAAAGAAATATAAATAAATGCTAAAGAATGAAGAAAAGAAAATTTTAAGATATATTTCTTAGTTTAAAATTTAAAAATTATGTTATTTAGGAATTTGGTACAAAGTAGTTTACTCTGTTAATATTACCACCAAGAAAATACCTCATAGCTGCCAAAATACAACACTAAGGAGCTGTCTTCTGTTCTAATGGTAGAGATAAAATTAATTAATTACTTTTGTCCTTCTATTTATATCCCACTAGTGGGTAGCACGATAATTTGGTTCATTTAAAAATACTGATTATAAAACTTTATTCATTTTCAAGATCTAAATGCAGCCATTACTAGATAAGTACAGTCTTATCAACAAAATATTTTAGTACTAATAGACTCTCTAAAACACAAAAAAGAATTCAATAATGGTTATTTCATAGTCGAAGAATTTCAAAACAATGGAGCTACTCAGAAACCTAAATAAAAGTAATACTAAATTATGACTGCTTTTGTGAAACTAAAGAAAACATGTAGCTCATATTTTTCTTTCATTAGAAAGCTTGTTCACCCTTTTCACAGGAAAAGACTGAAGCAATATCAAATTCAGAAAGCTAATTTTCCTGAATCAATCAAATTTATATTTTAACAACATAAAAACATCTTTAAAGAACAATTGATAGAACAGCAAAAAACTGAACAACTGCAAGGCCACAGATAATGTATATAGCAAATAAGTTGCATGCTACAGAAACTGTAAGGGATTTTGTTTGCTTCATACCGAAAAAAAAGTATTTGTCTCTCGCACACAGCTTGTCACTCTGTATCTGTATATAGGATTCATTCAACTATCGACCAGGAAATGAGGATCCTCCTGACCAATCTCAAAATGTCTTAATCACATCACCTTCTCCCTTTGTCTCATTTAGCGTTTTAAATTCACAGCTCAAATTCTGCCTATTGGACTCCTCAGGTTTTGATTTTTTAAGTGCCAGCTGGTCTGGGAAAAGCGATGAGCAGTGTCCAAGAGACCGTGCAATGTCACCAATGGTCCACTTGTCTTCTGGAAGGGCGTGCTCCTCCAGTGTGAATGGCCCCTGTTTCGTTCGGGTCAGCTCTAGTACGCTGGCACAGGAAGCAAGCTCTACAGCAACAGGAGGTAAAAACCCAGAAGGCAAGTGATTCAGTATTTCAGTCATAAGTTCTGAAATGACAGAATTAGACTCAATCCTCTCAAAACCACACCACATTGCAATATTGTAGTAACTGCAAATAATGCAAAAACCAAGAGCCTTGAGTTGAAATGCAGCAAAATATTTAATAACTTATAAACTGCTTTAAAGTTTACAAAGAACTTGTACCCATTTTTCTTATTTAACTCAAAAAGCAACGCCATGAAGTAAATAGTACCCTTACTTAGCAGATGAGATAATATCAGCTTTCCCATGTCCTGATTGCCAGGAAAGAGCAGAGCAGAACCACAACTTTCTGGCTATTTGCAATACCAGGTTTTTTTGGGGGGGGGGGGGCGTGTACCAGGAATTGTGACTTTTTTTTTTTTGGTACCGGGGATCGAACTCGGGACCTTATGCTTGTGAGGCAGGCGCCAGAACTACCGAGCTAAATCCCCAGCCCTTGTACCAGGAATTGAACTTGGGACCTGCCACTTTCGAGGCAGGCAGCAGAACCACTGAGCTAAATCCCCAGCCCTGCAATACCAGTTTTTAAATTTTTTTATTTGTATCAATGAAAATAACTTTTAGAAGGGTAGATTTTTTTTTTCTGACACGACTTTAAGTTAAAATGTTTTTTACTTGAAAGAGTTGTCCCTTACATCCATTATTCTTGTTTTCCTTTTCTGTTCCTCCTTCTCTTCCTTACCATTACAAGTCTCTTACTACAGCTGCTGAGACTGATAATTGTGCACTATAAACCAACAATGCTTCCAAAGCTGAAAACAACAAGAGTTCAGTTCCTCAGGCCAGTACTCAGAAATATTAAAAACAGAAATTTCCCTCTTCTCATCAAAAAGGAATATTACTCTCTAAATGATAATTCATAATTCATTTTTCTGCTTACCTTTGCCAATGTCACTGACCAGGCTTCTGATATAAAAACCTCCTCCACATTCAATATCTGGAATGTTAACAGTGACATGGTAAATCGCTAACCTCCTATGAAAGCTACTTTACATAGAAATGCTGCCCCTAAACAAATGTAAAAATGCACTATACAAACAATTGAGTGATAAAATATTTATGTGCTAAAACATAAATTATTCATCCAGTAGCATATGTGTTTGTGAGACTGAAAAGTCATGGTGGAAAAAGCAAACAGCAGAAATTCATGAACACATTTTAAATTAACTGGCAAGTCATACACTTTAATACCTCAGCCTTGTTCATTTAATAGATTTTAAGTAATTAGAAATCTCAGTTTTGCTATAGAGGTTAAAAATCTGTTTTCAGATAGGTACACCCTGTTCATTTATTAGGGTTTAAATGGTTAAAAATCTGAGCTTTGCTACTATGAGCTATAGGTTTTAAAAATATTTACAGATTTGTACAGTCAAAAAAAAAAACCCTTTCACAGTTACAGGAATTATGTCTGAGATACTATACTAGAGACAGAGAGAGCTCAGCATATTGAAATGTTCTTACAAATATTCCTGGAAAAAAATCATGAAATAAAATTATACAATATCCTAGAACTGACAGAACATCAAAACATCTTAACACAGCATTACAGAAGTTTATTGGTTGAAAACACAGCCCTGATTTATTTTTTCATCAACAAGACATCCTGAAAAGAGCCAGCACCCTTTCCACACAAAAGGCTATATTCTAGCTGTTTCTAGTCTTATGAAATCCTGTAAAGCCATTTGGGTGAATTAATCAAAACTCGCCACCTGGGGATTTTAATTTTTTTTCATCATCTCACAGTTGGGGGCCACTGCTGAGATAAAAGAGGAGCACTAGGATCAAATATAGGAATGCTAACGTTTTTACATTATATTTGACTTTGCTCAACAGCTCTTTTGGCCTATTGTACTCTCTAGTCAACAAAATATTTATAGCTTAAATGCAGTCAGAGAATTTAAGTTTTTATTTCTTTTGTAGAAAAAATCTATTCTCCCAAACCAGCTGTTACACTTTCATGGAGCAAAACATTTTTCAATGTGTTTTTTCATTATCTATCCAACAGTTTAGAATCAGCAAACTTAAGAAAAGGAGGCATGACTTATTTTTCTAATTATACAAAACCACATTCGGAAGAAATTTAATCCATATTAAACAATATAATGCCAATAGAGGAAAAAACAATGAAGCTTAGGAATAAAGGTACTGGGAAAGTATTTCTAAAAGAAATCCTATTCGATATGCATTGAAATTAAGGGTAGGATTTTATGGAGCCTGTCAATTAAGAACAACAGCTTTTGATTCTTCATAGTTCTTTTTTTTGGTACAGGGGATCGAACTCAGGACTTTGCGCTTGCAAGACAGGTGCCAGAACCACTGAGCTAAATCCCCGGCCCACTCTCCCACTCTTCATAGTTCTTATGTTCAAGCCTTCATCTGCAACTTTCTTTTTTTTTTTTTGGTACCGGGGATTGAACTCTAGTCCTTGCACTTGTGAGGCAGGCAGCAGAACCACTGAGCTAAATCCCCGGTCCTAGCTGCAACTTTCTACAGCCAGGAAGAAGAGAAAATTTTTAAACAATCAAAACAAGCATTTTGATTTTCAATTTATTTCAAATTTGGATTATATAGTCAAATTGGTAATCTAAATTGAAAAGTGATCGTATGTCCAACGATACATTTCTGCCTTACTCATTTTCATGATTTTTAACACTAACTTGCAGTTAACAAAGAAGGGTTAAAAAAAAATCAGTCCATCTGTAGACATTTTTAAAAAATACTTCTTAAAAATACTGCTTACCTATTCTTCTTCATAGAGATCTAAGATTATTACTTCCAGCTTTATAGTAAGGTGGTGTACAACATATGAGAAACTCAGGGTAGTTAGAAAGGCATTTCTAAACCTCCATGTGGCTATAGGTATCTTATTAAATGTGTTATCAAATCATACCTTTTCTTTTTGAAAAAATCTCCAATATGGTAGGGACCCATTAAAATTACATAACATTAGCCAAATACAAAATAAAAGTCTACATAAATATAGATGATTTCAAATTTCCCCATCTTACCTAATGTGAAAAATGGCGGCTGGAATTTTTGAAGGGAGATACTGTACACCGTAACTGGCCTGGCAGGTTTTGCCTCTACTACTTTGCCTCTCTTCATTAAAGTTGAAAGTCTCTGCCCATCTTTCTTTAATGCAGAATAGCTTGCAAAACAAAAGGAGAGAGGGAGAGAATGAGAGAGGAAGGTTTGAGGGAGACTGAGAGAGAATGAGAAATAATTCCAGATGACAACATAAAAAGAAAGGGTAACAAGCAGTCCTTTAAATTAAAAGCCCTTCTTAAAAAAAAAACCCCAAAACTAGTTCCCCCCCCATTCCCAATCTACCACACAGTGTTGATGGCGATACAGTTTCTAAATATCTTTGAGGGTAATAAAAGCCATCCAGGCTCTCCACAAGCAATGTTGTCAATTTTAGTCTTAAACCATCTTCCCAGAGATGGCTATTCATATTTGCTCTTCACTAATCCTCATTCCAAATTGAGGCACAAGGAAGTTAGTAGTAATCTCTGGTCATAATAATCTCAGCTAAATTTCCTTGAAACCATTTCTATTATAATGAATTTACTTTTATATAAAAGTTATCAAAGTGTTTCTAAAACACTAATAAGCAAATAATATTCTTAATAGATCTTAGCTCTGTGTGATAAAATTTTATTATATCACAACATGCTTGGATAGTCACAAAAAAGAAATTCTAAAAATGGTCCTCATAAATTAATGTAAATAAGTTTAATTTAGATTAACAGTGATCCAAAATAGTGTTTATGCCAGTCTTGCTAACATATTTAAAGCTTTGCTTTTGAGAAAAATCATGAAGAAACACTTCTTCACAGGTAGTTCAAAGTTCTTGAAAACACACACACACACACACACACACACACACACACACACCCCAAGATTTTAAAACACAAAATAAATACTAAATTCTAAGCTTATCCTGACACATCCTATACCCATTCCACTATTTTTAAGAAAGTGATTTGCCTTTAGTGGAAATGCACATACATGTATGGTTAAGTAGTGCTATGCTCTGAATGTTTGTGTCACCCTCTGAATTCACACACTGGACTCTTAAGTACCAAGATGATGTTATCAGGAGGTAGGGCCTTTTGGAAGGAGATTAGGTCACGTTATTTGTTCCCCTGCCCCTTCCAACATGATAGGACACAATGAGAAGGCACCATCTATGAGTGCCTGACCAGAAATTGAATCTGCCAGTGCCTTATCTTGGACTTAGCTCCCAAAACTGTGAGAAGTAAAATTCTGCTGTTATAAACTACCCAGTTTACTGTATTTTCTTACAATAGTCCAAATGAACTCCTATGAGTGGAGAATCAATATACTTATATTTTTAGTAAGTTATAACTCTCAGCTGTTTCATTTGTCATAGAGAAAGATTCTGGGTCCCAAGGGAATGTGCCTGACACCTGACAGACCCAGCACAGCAATTCTGGGAAAAGTGCCATCTCTGAGCTCCCAAACGGCCGCGATATCTGTAGACAGAATCATAAAAGCTGAAAAAAACTGAGTAGCACAAATGCTAGCTGTTCTAATACCCAGGGACAGAGGAGACTGCATTCTATTACCTCTTACTACATTCAGAAGCTTCACATCCAGTCCAAAGCAGGCTCACTTTTACTTCATCATTTACTTTGTCAGATTTAAAACCCGCCTCAACATACAGCAAAAGGATGTCCATTTTATTTTAATTATGGTGATGTTAACCAGTAGAAAATAAAACTAAACATTTATTCAAATAAATATTTGAACTTACAGTGGGGGTACTTGCATTATAGTCCCAGTAAATTTCTGTAGAATGCCTTCAATATCTTCTTGTGTTATTTTATCTGCCAAAGTGAACAACAACAAAACACAGTAAAACAACCATAGAAGTACATATGCTATTTTTTACAGTACCAACAGCTCTGAACATTCATTAAAAAAAAATTTTTTTTCCAATAAAGCATGTATTGCAGTGCATGTCCTGCGGGCCAAATTCTACCTTGTTGAGAAGAATAAATTACACTAATTATCTAAGAGAAAGAAAATTTTACATCATCATTTATTAAGACTAAATTTCCTTTGCTTCAATTTTTCTCTAATAAAAATGATCCAATCATCATATGTGCAGTTAGTGGGTTCTATGGCCTTTAGAAGACCTGAAGAAAATGCCACATTAGCTAAAGGAATGGTCCTGCAGTGAATAGTAATGGGGTGATCAGAAATGAGGCAGAAAAATAATACCCATAAATTCTTTTCTCAGTTTCTCTAGGCATGAAATATTATAAATAATTTATAGTGATACTGAAGATTAAGTATTATCCACATTTTATGTTTTACCGGATAGATTTCAAAACTATTCTGTTATGGCATAAATTTTATGCACTCACAATCAACTTTATCTCCAAGTTATACTTATCTGTCTCCCCTATCCCTTCTCTGCTGCACTTCTTTAAATGAAGATTCTCAGTAAGCCTCAAAAATAAGCCATTGTGGAGCAAGAATATACACAAGCATTTTTTAAACAATAATTTTAGAGGCTGGAGATTTAGCTCAGTGGTTTTGCTGCCTGCTGCCCAAGCACAAGGACCCGAGTTCAATCCTCGGTACCAAAAAAAACAAAACAAAGCAATCATTTTAGAAAATTTGAATCAATACTAATACATAAAGCTTTTAATATGTTAGTCATGTTTTCAATGTTTGGTACTCTTTCAAATAAAATGATACAGTATCCATAATTTTAAAAACAAAACTATGACATATAAATTCAATATTTGGGATTTTCATACTCACAGATGAGTCTTTACGCATATTTCATATTCAATAATAAACTAAATCTTAGAAACAGCCCATAACTTGTTTAGGCCACAGTCAAAGTAAAGAAATAACATGACTTTTATAATTTTGCAGTATTTTTTTTCTAGTATATGTACATTTGTTTTTATTTGAACAATATTAAACAAAAATTAATCGGTGTGCTTTGAATTACTGTTCTAACACTACCATAAGAATTGAAAGGACATAAGAAATACTGTGTCCTGATTTCAGTATCAACCCAGCAAGGCAGTTTTAACCTTAATGTGACCTTGATTCTTATAAGCCCAATACAAACAAAAGACTACAATCTAGTAGACCTACATAGCGAAAAGCTACAGAACTCAAAAGAATTTCTTCAACATCTCCCAAATCATAGATCTCAGTGGCAGTCTGTTCATACTGTTTCCCAAACAGATGTGTAGCATTATATGGGCGAAGATTTTCCCATGAAATGTTTTTACTCTACTGCAACCTTAACATATTAGGTAGCCCCTTAGTTATGTAAATCTGAGATTTTTAAATTTAGATGGCCAATTCTTCCACCATGCAGGCACTTTCTAAAAAAAATGTCATTGACAAAATTTCAGTTGTTCATAACTTGGCCAAATATTTTTAAAACAAGACTAAACAGCTTTCTTCTACTAGGCTTCTCTCCTTATTGACAATCCTGCAAAAGTGCAGTCCTTTGTCCTGCTTTAGTGACTCTTTCACTGACAGCCCCCACATAAGACGATGTGCTCTTTCTCATTATACTTCTGCAAGCTGTCTCTTTCTGACTTTACATCTCAAGCATTTAAGGTATGTGCTGTTCATCCTGCAATTAATCATATATAATATTTTCTTAATATTTAAAGGCATTATCTCACCAGTGAAATTCTGAGCTTCTCAAAGGCAAAGGCAGTTTTTCTTCTTAGATAACGCATACTATTCGGATGGCACTTAAGACATTCTTGCTGAAATTTAATTTGCTAAATAATAGAATCTCGAGGTTGAAGGGCATTTAAAAGTCACGTACACCATCATTCATCTGATGTTTGAATTGCCAGAAAGAAAGCCTACATAGCAACTTATTTTATAACAAAAGCTGAGCTTGTGATACATGAGTAAGTAGTGAAGCACACTGGCTATATCTACAATGTGATATTAGTCCAATCCCAATAATAACTGTCTGTAAGAATAATGTCTCTACCTCCAAAGGAGTTAAAAAGAAATGTAGAATAAAATCTCCACAGCAAGAATAACCAGTAACTAGCCAAAAGAAGTATATTTGGTAAAAGAAGATAGGTGTGACACAAATGTTGTAGAAACTAGATAATTATGCTTTGTTTAGTAAATTAATAAGACGTCAGTATGACAGCATTCATTTGAAATTAATTTTAAAGCCATTCTCATAAAATTAATATTTGCAAATCATTATTTGCTTAAAATGTATTGATTCTTCCAGTGAAATTACAACATAATCACCTGGGACTCAACTGAACTATGGAGATAAAAACAGTATGATGGAATCAGAAACAATATGCAGCTATAATACAGTAACTATCACTGAAGAAGTCTAGCCACCATAAGTAGCTGTTAAAACTGCAAAATACACTGCACATCCCATTTTAGACACTGGACAAGAGGAAGCAAGGACTGAGAAAAGAGAAACAAAGAAGGTAATTGTTTTCTTACCTGTCGGGGGAAAAGGGAAATTCTAAACAAAGCAAAATGATCTGATTGAACAGAGATCAGAATTTGGGGAGCAGATACAGACAGATTTGGAGGAAGTTACACAGATAGAGATGTTTATAGGGGTTTCCTGAGGTCTAATTCTAAACTGCACATACATACAGTGAGTCTGTACACAATTAAATACCTTCTACCAAAGCTCTTCTAAAGGTGGGAGATGTTTGAATTTCAATGATGCATAATGAAGAAACTTTGCTGAACAATATTATCAACAGAGACCTAGAAAAGCTACACCTTGACAGTAGGCCTTATCTAGACCAAATATATGTATGTTTGAAAAAGAGATAGGTCTGATACAAGTGTTTTAGAACTTTAGACACTTTTAGTCAAATATTTTAGATGCAGCCTATCAATCCACATGTACAAAAGCAACTAGAATAAGTTTAACAAGGTTGATAAACACAAGATCAATATATAAAAATCAGTTCCACTTCTATATACTAACAATAAACAATTTAATGAAATTAAAATGTGAAATTAAAATGACATTAAACTGTAGAAAATTCCATTTATAAAAGCATCAAAATATGAAGCACTCAGCAATTTCACACACACAAAACATATATAAATCTGCACACACGTCTGTAGTACCAGCACTTGGGAGGCTGAGACAGGATTAAGGGTTCAAAGTCAGCCTTGACTACATAGCAAGATCCTGTCTCAAAAACAAAGGAAAAAAAAATCTACACACACAACACTAAATATATGGCTGCAAAAAATCAAAAATTTAAAATCATAGAGAGACATATCTTGTTTTATGGGGTTGGAAGATTCAATATTATTCTCAGTTCTCTCCAAATTGATCTGCAGAATAAACTAAATTTCAAAAATCCCAGATGACTATGTGAATGCATATATATATGTATATGTATACAAACTGACAAAGTTAATCCATATGAAAATGCAAAGGACTTCAAAGAGCACAAACAACTATGAAAAATAACAAGTTGGAAAGCTAACACTCCTTTGATTTCCAGACTTATTATAGAGCTGTGATAAAACAGTGTGATACTAGCATAAAAACAGCCAAATAGATCAAATAGAATAGGGTCTAGAAATAAAGGTGTGCATGTATGGACAACTGGTTTTGACAAGAGATTCCAAGACATTTAGAAAAAGGATAGTCTTTTTAAAAACAGTGATAAAATAATTTAATACTGTGGTGGTTAAGTGATTAATTGTCAACTTGAGCAGAATCTTGAGATGCATGGTTCTGGGCATGGAAGACCCACTTTAGGGACGATTGTTGTTGGAAAGGTACAAAGAGGAGAATGGGAGGCAAGGATTTCAGTGGATTTTCCTCGGAAGAGCTTCAGTGCCGCTGATTTTCCTCACAGGAGCTGCTCTCTTTGCAGGAGCTCCATTATTCGCCCTTGCCAAGGATGGCTGCTATTCTCTTCCGAGGAGCTCTGGTCTTCCCTTTCACCTTGGGTGTAGTCTGTTGGCTTTCAGCAGATTCTTTAGCAACTAGCGCCGACCCTTCGACCTCCCTGTGCAGACCCTTCGGCCACCTGATGTGGATTCGTAGGGGACATTGCTGTGGGCTCCAGGCCCTTGGCTGGATCCTTCAGATCTCTAGCGCACAGACAGACCTTTTGCACTCTTCTTCATTTGACTCTGTGGGTGGCCACTGTAGGCCAATCTTGTAAATTTCTGTGTCATGCATTAAATCGTACTCAGAGCACATGCAGTCTTTTGAGGGGCCTTGCTCCAGCCCTGAAAGCTCTTGTAAGCACTGACTAATACAAATATACATTAAAAAAATAATAAATAACTCAGATCCATACCTGAGATCATATTAAAAAATTAACTCAAAAGAGATAACACAGGGGCATATGGTAGTGGGACATCATGGTCAACCCTGCTTGTGGGTGATTTAGGAAAAGTTATTTGCTCTATCTACTCTTGTAACTGTTCTCTAAGTCTGTTATTTCAAAGTAAAAAGAAAGATTGTAAGGGAATATTATGAACAACTTTAAGCCAATTACATTTGACATTTTAGATGAAATAAGATAAACTCCTAGGAAAAATTATCAAGAATAATACAAAAAATAAAAAAGATATCTGATAGCTAGCTTAAAAACTTCCTTAATAAAGAAAATTCTAGATGAGAAGTCTATCCATAAATTCTATCAAACATTAGAAAGAGAAATAAGACACAAATTTTTTCAAAGAATAGGAAAAAATGATAACACTCCCTATTATAGATTATATCTACATGTGCCCCCAAAGCCTCAGGCACTCATAGGTGGAGCTTTTTGGAGGTAGCTGGATTTAGGGTGTGTGAATATGGGTTATG